AAACTTATTAACATAAAATTTAAATTACAAATATATTTATTTAAATTAGAATCATAAATGTTGTAAATAATCGTTCATAAATGCTGGGCATGCGAGAGTTAAAAATGGACGAATTTATTCCACTTTGACTTTGAAGTGGAAACCTAAAAATAAAATAAAAGAATAATAAGTAGATTTAAACATGAAAAATTTAGCTTAATTATAATAACTTATATGTTTCTACAAAAAAAATGTGTAGTATAATAATATATTCGTCCTAAACTTAAGTACCCACAGAAATGTCGCATCTGAACATATTAATTTCATAATCTATATTCAATGATACGAGATGGCGTCTTAGGAATAATTTGCTTTATTATTAATTTTTAATACTTTTTTATTGAATAAGTATCTTATTAACCGATGAAAAGTAATTCCTTGGTTTTTACTGACATTTCTTGAATTATTTGTGCAATATCTAAGTACACAAGGCGGCATATTTTTATCAAGAGATTTTTTTTAAATCAACACAACACGTGACAACTCTACAAGCGCCTAGCGAGTGACTGATTAAAGTGCAGTGCATGCACCGCAGTTGAGTGGAACAGAGTAGCTGAATGCAGTGTCTCCTCTAGTACGTAGTACATAATAGCTCAATGGAAGATGACGAAGTTATCATTCATTGTGACTTCTCAGAAAATTATGTTTGTAAAATAGCCGTAGAAGTGCAGGCTATGCACTTTTGTGCTTCTAAAACTCAAGTAACCTTACATACAGGTTTGTTGTATGTCAAAGATCAGAAACCCGTTTGTTTTTGTACTGTTTCTCCGTCACTCAAACATGGCCCCGAAGCTATATGGGGCTACTTGAAACCCGTCATAGATTTTGCGAAAATTAAATTTCCCAAAATTAGCCACATCCACTTTTAGTCTGACGGTCCTGCTACACAATAAAAACAAAAAAATAACTTTTACCTTTTTTGTCAAAAAATTAAGGAAGAAGGCTTTACCGAAGGAACACGGTCGTTTTTTGAAACATCACATGGTAAAGGTGCAGCTGACGGAGTCGGTGGTGTGGTGAAGAGAACCCTTGATGCAAGAGTTGCATATGGTGTTGATATAGTTGATGCTGAATCTGTATTTGACATTTTATCGAAAACCGTTACGTCTGTGAAAACATTTTACGTACCAGAAAGTGACATAGAGATGATTCAAATACCTGAGCCTGAAAGGGTAACACCTACACCATCTACAATGAAAGTTCATCAAGTCATTGCAACTGAATATGAAAATATAATAAAGTACAGACCATTAAGTTGCTTCTGCATGCGAGGCAATTGTGACTGCTTTGACACTAAAATGCACAATTTGATAAAAATAATAAAAATAGAAAAAAAATAAAAAAAGGAAAAATAGATGCAAGAATTCAAGAAAGAATCAAGATTCATCTACCGAAAATACGGATACGGAGATTGAATATGCAGAGAGTGATACATCTGAATGGAATGAAAATGAAAGCTTTGTTATATCGTCCTCTGAAGAGAATGCACAGAATATACCAACTGCATCAGAGTCAAAAATACAAGAAAACCAGAAGAAAAAGACACGAGATAAGGAAATAGTGAAAAATAATGGAAAAAACAAAGAATAACTGAAGAAGAGTATATTTAAAGGACACTGTGAAAAAAATGAAAGAAAATAAAAAAGTGACGGTTTTGGCAGACGTTAAAATTACGCCGAAAAACCGTAAAAATTTGGATCTTAAATCTTATGGAAAAATAACTCAATAATGAAAATAATAATGAAATTGGTCTAGATTTCGACGTATATTCCAAAAAGCTTCCAGGCAAAAGTAGTACAAATTCCGTTCCTTCCACATCCAAAACCAACCTTTTATCTCCCTCCAAAAGATCTTCCATCTTAAAAGAAAATATGGAGCATCAGATAGACACTTGTAATGCCAAGGATTCTAAAACAGTTGATCAACAAGAGGATGGATACTCAGGAATTTGTGACTTCACTGAAAAAATTGAAGTGGACGACGCTGTGTTAGTAAGATATTTTATGAGAAAATGGAAGTACTACATAGGATTTGTCACGAGTGTTGAAATTAAAGATGGTACAACTTTCTATACAGTTTCGTTTTTAAAGACTGTAAAAACTCCTAAAATTTAAAATTTATAAGGCCAAGAAAAGTTGTATACTGAAGTTGTATATAAAATACTGTAAACAATATTTCAATTGTTAAAATAAAAGCGGCCAAGAGCGTGTCGGGCCACGCTCAGTGTAGGGTTCCGTAGTTTCCCGTCCGTCACAGTAAGTGTTCCCACTTATGAGTTTGTACAAAAACTGTTCTTTCCATCCAAGTTCAAAATAATTTTCCTAGAAAGTCCTTATAAAGTTCTACTTTCCAGATTTTTTCATATTTTCTAAACTTATGGTTCAAAAGTTAGAGGGGGGGGGACACATTGTTTTTTACTTTTGGAGCGATTATTTCCGAAATTATTAACATTATCAAAAAATGATTTTAGTAAACCCCTATTCATTTTTAAATACCTTTCCAACAATATATCACACGTTAGGGTTGAAATTAAAAAAAAAAATCACTTCCCACTTTACATATAGGGGGAGCTACCCTAATAAAACATTTTTTTCCAATTTTTATTTTAGCACTTTGTCGGCGTGATTGATACACATATTGGTACCAAATTTCAGCTTTCTAGTGCTAACGGTCACAGAGATTAAGCGAGGACGGACAGACGGACAGACAGACATGGCGAAACTATAAGGGTTCCTAGTTGACTACGGAACCCTAAAAATGAGATTGTACCTATGTAAAATCAAAAGAGTATTATTTGTTAGACAGTTTTAATGAAACTTACTTTTAATTTTTTTATTTTATTTCTCTGGAGGATACTACATTCGATACAAAATAATTTTTCTTTTAAGATTAAAAAATTAAATAATCTAGGGGCACGGCACTGCCCCCGCCAAGTCGAGCAAAAAAGCGGCACGGCCGTACCATCTTTTCTCGAAGCAATTCAGGTCATTTTCGACCCCCTATAACTTCGTGGTCGATAAAACTAGATGCCGGAATTTTCAGTAACCGAGTAAGCATTGTATAGACATGGTATATTTCAAATTTCATTCGATTTGAACCAGTATTTTAAGAATTGTAACCAGTCAAAGTTTCTTAATTTTGTCACTCACTGACTGACCGATCATCAAAACTCTAAGGCACTTCTAGCATACATAGAAGCTTCAAATTTAGAATACAATTAGTGTTTAGTATATAAATGAAGGAAAAACTAAAACATTTGTTAAGTTCTGTCCAGTTTTCTAGATACACTAACTGCATAAATAACTTTGTAATCCCATATAAATATATAGAATTACAAAGTTACATTTGCAGTGAATGAACCAGTGTACTTGTATATGTATTACAGGTGTACATAGGTACGTTGTTGGTACTCAAGAAGTAGAAGGTACTAAAAAGGTAAAAAAATTAGGACTATCTTATATACAAAAAAAAAATGAGATACCATTAAAAACATAACTTGTAAAAAAAAACAAGTCTCGCAACTCAGTTCTTCTACCGTAAAAAGTTGTGAGATCCATGTAATACCAAGTCGGTTAATTTATTCAGTTCCTACTTAAGGGTCCTTCTGTTTTAAGTTATTACGTAATTAGCTAACCTAACAACATTTTATAGTGACCATATCAATTTTAAAAGTCTTTTATGTTTTAAATATATAGATTGACTTGGCAATCGCATTAAGCAATCTAATTTAATATACTAAAGCAAGTAATACGTATTATATTAAATTAGATTGCTTAATGCGATTGCCAAGTCAATCTATATATTTAAAACATAAAAAGACTTTTAAAATTGATATGGTCACTATAAAATGTTGTTAGGTTAGCTAATTACGTAATAACTTAAAACAGAAGGACCCTTAAGTATGAACTGAATAAATTAACCGACTTGGTATTACATGGATCTCACAACTTTTTACGGTAGAAGAACTGAGTTGCGAGACTTGGTTTTTTTTACAAGTTATGTTTTTAATGGCATTATTAGGTTTCTTTTAGTATCAATGATCTTTTTACACTAGTTACTTGGAAATTTTTGGGATTTTACTACTGCTTAATAGATATTTTCTATTAATAGAAATGTTTAGCTTTGGTTCTCTGAGGATTTTTTTGTTTTAGAAGATTTTTAGTTAAAGAAATTATTCACTAATTTGTTATAATTTAATAGTGAAGATTTGTTTTGTTTTAGAAGAGTTTTCTTTAGTTATCTGTATTATTTGTTTTTACGCGAGTGCTCTAAAAGGAGGGTAATTTTTTTTGTTTTGATTATTTGGCGTTTTGAATAAATAATTAATAAAAATAAGATTTTTATTTTTTCATATTTTGGATGCAATATAGTCACATATCATTCAGTAACTATAGTTGTATGTACCTATATTTGTAACATTGTGATATCACACATGATATTGCAATGAAATATCACATTTTTATTCTAAGTGTAACCACAGCTTAACAAATCTATTGTGCGACAGTCAGGTTCCATTGTGACACTTTCCAGTGTGATATTTTGTTGTGCGACGGTATAAAAATTTGGTCCTTACCCATATGAAAGGTAACGATATTTTTGTAAATTCGACATGGCAGTTCTCTTTTTACTGCAAAAAGAGATCTGTAACTGAACAATTCGGCATTTTCGTAAGACGTCGATTCAGCCGCGCAACTAGCTTTAATATAGTTTAATTGTACACATATCCCACTAGTTTTAATGCATAATCACTTCTGTCAATGTATAAGCACGCGTGGTCTTATACTTTGACAGAGGGGAATGCCTTCATACGACTACTTCCTTCCGCCAATGGCCCGTGTTGCTGTGTTCTGCCTATAATTTTTGTATAAATTAGATGTTAAATTGCAGTTTTTGAAAAAAGAAAACAATGACTGTATAATTTATTTTATTTATTACCAAAAATGTATAGTAAATCATTTTATTTACATGGATGGTGGAGGAGGTGGTACAGGTAATAGAGGTGGAGGAGGTGGTACACCCATTAGTTGAGCTCCAGGAGGAGGTGGTAATCTAATGCCATGGTTTTCCCACATTTTAGGAGGAGGAGGAGGTGGCATTCGTAGAGGCTCAATTTTAAATGCAAATTGCAAAAAGAATTGTTTTGTATCCTTATTCCAATGAGTCCAAAATTTAGAGTCATGCTTTTCAACTTCACGGCTTGGCACCTTAAATGCTATAGTTTCATATGGCTCAGCAGCAAAGAGCAAGTATTGCCACCTACGGTCTGGTGGCTCTATCTTTTGTTCATAAGCAGACATGAAGCGATGCCTTGGTTGTACTCCTTCAGCGATTTCTAAAATTGAAGTAAATATGGGTAAATTAATACAAAAAACCAAAATAACTATCATTTATAGTTATAGTTGATATAACTATTAAATAACCTTATTTAAAATTTCAAAGCTATTTTTAAACCTAATAAGATTTATTTTTAATTAAATCTTGAAAAATTGTTTATTATTGAAATTATTTTAACTAAAATTTGCAGAATGCTCTACTGAAATATCCTACTAGCTTTTTGCCCTGAAGTGTTACCCGCGTCCAAATTGTAACGTCCAGGCGGTCATGCTTGTTATGAGATGTATTCATTACGAATTACTTATTTCGATTAGCAAGACATGTTAATAGGATATTCAATGAGTTAAATGTGAAGATAGCATAATACAGAGAGCTCAAGGTAAAATGTGGAAACTTTCTTATATTTCGGAATGATAATGATTCCAGATTTTAATTCTTTGGACAACAAGCGCAATCGGAAGTATGCTCTTTGGGCTAAACCAATTTATTTACTATTAAATACCTACAAAATACTAGTGATGGGATATTACTAATATCGATAAATCTTTATCACTGCTACTGTAATCGATTTCACAAGTATAAAGGTGTTTCATTTATTAAATAAATGTTACTATTGTATCATTAATGAAATAACACAAACAAACTAGTAAAATTGACAAATTATTTTCACTATTTAAACTCCATTGAAACAAGTTTTTATCGAACAAAGCGCATCCTTAAAATGAAATTGATGTCACTACTTGACGCCCGAAAGCGACAATGACGTACGGTTTCAAAGAAAACGAGGCTATTTTAGAGATGTGTTAATGGAATAACAAAAACATTTATAGCAAAATGTTGTTTTGCAAATGCAAACTATTACAAATCTGTAACATATAATATTCACTCATAATTAGATAATGTTTTCGGGAAAATAAATTCAACAGGTCACTATTGACGCCCGAATGAGACGATTCTCCCGTATCATATATTAGTCTTTACAGTCTTATGTTTGCCTAAAACATGTTCAAATCTGGAATGAATATTACCAAGCTCAAGCTTAACTTTGGTTCAATTTATATAAGATTATAAAGTAGCCATCTATTTGTCGCCTAAACTCGTTGGCGTTCTAGCTGCCAATTATGTTTGTCGCTTGTAAGCATGTTTGCATTCAAAGGTTTAAGTAAGACTAAGCCGCGCTCTAACAATCTATCTACATAGTACTACAGTACATTCATCCTCCTTAATCAATAAATCAATATAATTTACAGCTCATAATCTCAAATCTAAGTTTATTACTTGGAACTCAAATATTTTTCACCATATTTCCAGTTCTTTCTTATATCTATCCTACTTTCCTCACTTACTACTTACTACCTATCTCCATACAAATTTGAACAACCTTTGCCCTTGTAAAGGGTAGTTTTAAAATATTTCAAACTAGTTATTTTATTTACAGATTACTTTCAGTAAGTAAACTCAAAACTTGATTAATTAATTAAAACTACTTTTACGGATTTTATCGCGTTTCATTATTTTATTTTTAATACCCGACATTTCGGGTGCTTTCCAGCACCTATGGTCAAGGGGGGGGGTTCTTCAGCTTTTTAAATTATTGTTTATGATCCGATCTATGCTAAATGAACTGACTGCAGACTGTGTCTTGAAGTCTTGGCAGTGGTATGCTTGGGTTTAGTTTTGATTTTATTGATTATAAGGTCCCAAACAGGTTGTACTACCCAGCCTCCTTCAAAGCAAGCTTGATTGTAAATGTGGTCTCTCTTATATATGACAAACAAAAAGATCAATTAGAACCCACGTAAAAGAACATATAGCTGATGTAAATCATCAACATTCCAGGAAGTCTGCAGTTTGTCATCATATCCTAGACGGCCCCAACCATTACATCAGATTTTATAGACCACTAATCCTCACGAAAGAACATTGATTCCTATCAAGGATGATGCATGAGGCTATTGAAATTAAAAAACATCCTGATTTCAATAGAGAAGGAGGCTGGGTACTACCACTTGCTTGGGTATAATCAATAAAATTAAAGCTAAACCCAAGCATACCACTGCAAGTCTTCAAGACACAGTCAGTTTATTTTGCATAGATTGGACCATAAACAATAATTAAAAAAGCTGAAGGTACTCCAGGTTTAAGAATGACATCGGGACGTCAGTCATCTCAGTTCCCCGTGACCATGGGTGCTGTAAAGCACCCGAAACGTCGTGTATTAAACATAAAATAATTAAACACAATAAAATCCGTAAAAGTAGTTTTAATCAATGAGTAGTGTTCGCATAAATATAAGAAATCATTGTGTAAACTTGAAACTTATTGAAAATACACTAAATTTCAGTAAGTTTCGAGTAAATCGCCCAGTAAAAATATTTATACTCATAGAATACCAGCGTCAAATAGTAGCTTAATGCTGCTGTGTTTTGTATGGTGAGTGCAGAGAATCGGAGACCATTTTACTCGAAATGAGGCATTCCATCTTCATTTCGATTCGAAATCGAGGATAGATGTAGATGTCTATGGGCCACTGCAACCACTTACCATCAGCTGGAATGTTTGCTCGTTTGTCTCCCTATCCTATTAAAAAAAAATTATACAATAACTGTAACACCCTATTTTCCTCAGTTAGGAGTAGAATTTTCCAAAATCCTTTATAGCGGATGCCTACCTAGTGAAAAGAACCCATTGTCCCAATTTCACATTTCATGTCTATTTACTGTGATTTTTAATATAATATTTTTCATAAATCTTATCTAAAAATTGCTTATTTCAATTCAAAAGTATTTGTACCAGTATTCAAGTTCAAGAAAACTATAAATTATTTTATCTCCAAACAAATTCGAACCTCTCTGGCCCCCTATAAAGGGCGTGTTTTAAAAAATTTGACTTTGGTATAATAGAAATGTGTCTCCTTTGGCTTCCCCAGACAAAAATGTGGCCTATTATGCAATGGATCTAAATTGCATGTCAACAAGCTATACATAGTTAACTTAACACGCACCAAGAAAATTTAATTTATTTGAAATTTTAATTCTGAAGAGGTTGAACTGAACTCATCCATTTTACATAATAAAACTGTTATGCACAGTTTTTTTTTTACTTATTATAAACTAGTGTTAGAATACAATCCTACCTGATGGTATGATAATGTCTTAGCGTAACAACAGCCTATTCACTCTTGCCTTGAAGTCATACACCCATTCCACTACTTTTGCATTACAAAATATGAAGCAATCTATTTTAAGTGTATGGAATGTCAACAATAAAGGGGTGAAGGCCCACCGATCATCTGGTTTTTCAGTGGTGGAAAGGGCAAGAAGCAATTATGGCATGTAATTCATGTGCACACTCTGCAGAATGCATCCTGTATAACATTGAGAGCCTGGCTACTCTGCTTGCTGTTGCTTTTGCAGTACCAGCCAATATTACAGCGGTACTCCACGCATGACCAGACTTGCGATTTATAAAGAATCAGAAGCTGCCCCGGCATCAGATGTACCACCGCTCCCTGACAAGGACAACTAGTTCTTTGCAGTTACTTTGGCTCTGGACACAATGAACCGCTCAAAGTTGAGGTTCGGGAATTCTTAATACCTAATAAGTGAAGATTATTGTACCCCCAAGATACAACCCAGAAGTAGGAGCCAGGGTAAGCTAGCTTTATGGTGAAGAGACAACTTGTGTTTTGGAGGCACTGAATCTCGCAATACTGTTTTGTTTGCAGTGAGTATACCTTTCTTTCAGACTTTATTGAATCTCAACTGACCAGAGAATTTGGTTGGTTTCTTACCACAACTTTACTGTCAACTGCATACCCATGGATATCAGGCATAATAAGACCATTAATATGCAGCAGGAAGAGAGGTGCAGAAGAGATGGACCCCAGAGGAACTACAGCATCAGTTGTCATAGGTTTAGATTATTGCCATTAATGACGACTAAGTGAGAAAGTTCACTCAGAAAGTCCTTCAAACAGCCAATCAGAGCAGAAGATAGGTCGAATGCCAAAAATTTGCTCAAAGGGCTAAGATGCCAATACATGTCAAAGGCCTTTAAAACAAAGGAAACAGTAAGTGATTCCCCACTGGTTTTGAATTTTTTTATTATATGAAGGTAACAAACAAGCACATAATTTATCCGACGGTAAGCATATGCTGTGGCCTAAAGACAATTACATCTATCCTCGATTAAAAAAAAATGCAGATGCGTAGTTACCCTGAGGACTAAGTTGCAACACCTCATTTCCAGTAAAAAGGATCTTTGGCTCTCTCTACACATCATATTTTATGCTGGTATTCTGTGAGAGCATGGTCCTACCCCTGTTGAGTCGACCCATTCATACTACAATCATAATATGGCTGAAGCAATGCTCTACCACGTTAAAAAATTTAAATGACTATTTGATTATAAAACAATATAGCAATAATTGTTGAATGAAAATTCTTACATTTCCTTTTACTTATTACCCCACAAGGAGCTTAAAGCTTGATATGAACTTGGCCATATAAATGTAGTTTAAATAAAATAAAATAAATATGAACCTGGGTAGTCGACTTGAAAAAGCAAGCTCTGCTGGCCATTTTCAGGATCTTTTTGCTTTGTGACTCTGTAACCAGGCCGTCCAATTTTTACAAACTTCTTTGGCTCAATTCTTGGTTTTTCTGGAGCTAATTGTTGAGGTGCTTCTTTAGCTTCCTTAGCAGCTCTTCGTGCTAAGTTAGCCTGATGTTTCTTTCCTTGTGTATGAGCTAAATAGCTGCCCTCATTGTTGTGAAGAGTTAAACAAAGTTTGCACTCATATGATCCTGAAAGTCATTCATAGAAACCATTTTTATATAAATTGATGTAATAACAATATTGAAAATCAAAATAAATCAGAGTAAATAATACAAACCTAAATGGTTTTTCATAAAATATGGATCTTTATTCAAATCAATAGTTTCCAAAGCAAGTTGGCGAAGCCTTTCACGACGATCTCTGTTGCTCTCCGACCATGAGGCTACACCACCACCGCCGGTTTTACCACCGGGCCGGTTTTGGAAATCCATTTTAATTACTGATGTTTAAAATACAAAAATATTTGTAACAATTGTTTTTAAAGCATACAATAGGCATTTGTCATTTGCACAAAATTCCTAGTATCTCGTCAAATGTGTCAAATTATCACCGATTATCACCAACATACCATGCCACTACCATAGATAAATAAATTGCATTTGTGTTCAGAGTTTTGGCTTGGATGCTTGTTTTTAAAGCCATATCATTTCGTTTGGGATCTTCGTTTTAAGTTTTATAGATTTTCTATTGTGGATTTAATGAATTTCTAAAAAGGTAAAAATATTTCAGCGCCAGAGGTCATTATTTGCGATGGATTCACTTTCACTGTCACTGTCTAACATTAGTAACACTTCACTAGCTAATTAAAAGCAATGAATAAAAGCCTTTGAAAGCTCAAAGTAATTTGCAGCATAGAAACTTAAAGACTAATGATTAGCGTGGCCTCGAGTGAGAAAGGAAGATAACGTAGTTTTAGGTAATACAATAATCTTTATGACTTTTAAACATGTTTAGATAAAAATTTTAATTGTTCTAAGAACTGAACTGAACAAGATTCACCAAACCTAAGCTCACAAAACACTTTTTTCTCACTTAAACCGATTTGTAAACTCCTTAGTTTGCTACGAACTGTTAAACTTGTTTAGCAAAGTGTAGTTTGCTAAACAAAAAAACCAGCACGGAGAAAGGGACAAACAATCACACTGCTCTCTCCCATTTCTATGCAAGACGTATGCATAAATCTATCTTTTTTGTGTGCGAATGCGAAAGAAGGCGTCAATATATCTATAGGTTTCTCTGTCTACGATAGAAAGAGTCATAAAATAAGAACAAAATTCTGATAGCTTAACTCTTTATACATATGACGTTTAACATGGTACAAAATAAGATAGCCATATTATTCTCACCTGCTGCTTACTTTTACTAGTTTGTTGTCGTTTTTTCTATTCCAAAGACACCTCTATTGATGTGCCATTATCGAAACAAAAACATTGACCATAAATTCATTCGGTCTATAACTTAGTAAAATTAGGGATTTTTATTAATCCGGCTCGTAACACTTATTTATATCAATGAAAGTTTATGGAAGTTTCATCTCACATCTTGCAACAAAAAAGTAGGTAGTCAAATAATGCTTCAAAGCCTGCATATGAATTTTAATGATCTGTAAATTATTACTTGAACAAGAATTTTACACAGAACCTTTTTAATAGAAATATTCGTTTAAGTAAAATTGGCATTATGACTTCCATGGCTCTAATTGGAATTGAACTTTTTGCCCCAGATATAGTTCTGACTGACTTCTCAGGGCTTTATTTTGCACTACATTAACGAATTGAAATACCTTCTGTCTATGTATGCTATACAACTGAGAACAAAAGACATCTTATAGTAGCTTTATACAAGATAGAAAGTGTCAGAAGATCAGCACCCCATGTGACACCAGCAAATATTTAAGGATGTTCGAACCTTATAACGATTTTTGTAAAATATTAGTAATATTGGGCTTAAAAGAGAGTTCTTTATCTACAACAACACCTAGAAATGTATGTTCATTTGCCATAGGAACAGCGTAATCATTATACATTACTGCAGTAGTAGCAAATCTTTAGTAAATATGATATTTTGTGCTTTTTTGTAGATACATTTTTAGTTTAAGGTTGTCATCATATTTTCCTAAAATACAGAGAGATAAATTTACATTGCAGAATCTAAATTATAATTTACACTGTAAAAAACTAGGTCATCAGTAAATTGAAGGATATTTACATATTTATAAATTTGAGATAGGTGAAGGTTGTATATTTAGCAAGGGAGAAAATGTAGCGCCTTGCATTGTGCCTTTTGACACAGTCCCAGGTTCATGAAGAGTATTAATAAATTTAACATAGAGGATTCTGCTAGTAAGAAAATTATAAGTAAGCCTGGAATGCCTAATTTAGATAAAAATTGTACTAAAATTCCTGGTTGGACATTATCGAATGCCCCCTGAACATCAAGAAAAGCACAAGCTACACTTTGTCCATTCTGTTTGGCATGTTTGAGATCAGAAATAAGACAAGTGAAGCTGTCTGCACAGCTGTTGCCCCCCTGTCTGAACCCATATTTAATGTTATCGGATCCAACAAAATGATCTAAGCGCAGTCAAATAATTTTCCTTAACAAGAAGACAAATAAATAGGGCGATAAGAGCACAAACTAATAAGAGTACTAAGATAAGAGTCACAACTATAGTGCGCGCAAGATAACTCTCCAAAAATGTTGCCATTTTGACTAAAATTATTTCCTTCATTTAATCTAATTACTAGAATTATATAATTATATCAAATTATACATACATGACCGAATTACTACTCCGGAGGCGTGGAGCAGAAGCGCGGTGGTCTTGTTCTTTAAGAAAGGTGACAACGCTCTCTTGAAGAACTACAGACCGATTTCCCTATCTGACGCGTCTACGTGCTGTTTTCGAGAGTCATTACGAATCGTCTCGCATGCAGACTTCCAGCCTTCCGAACAAACCGGTTTCCGAAAAGGCTTCAGTACCATAGACCACATACATACCCTGCGGCAGATTGTACAGAAGACCAAAGAGTACAATCTGCCACTTTGCCTGGCATATGTGGACTATGAGAAAGCCTTTGATTCCGTCGAAATTTGGGCGGTACTACAGTCCCTTCAGCGGTGCCAAGTTGACTGTCGGTATATCGAAGTGCTGAAGTGTTTGTACAGTAGGGCTACGATGGCTATCCGAGTACAGAACCGGAGTTAGAAACCTATCCAACTGCAGAGAGGTGTAAGACAGGGTGATGTTATATCCCCGAAACTCTTCACCGCTGCGTTGGAAGACGTTTTCAAGCTACTGGACTGGAAAGGATACGGTATTAACATCAATGGCGAGTACATCACTCACCTTCGATTTGCCGACGATATAGTCCTTATGGCAGAATCGCTGGAGGACCTTAGCACTATGCTCAATGACCTCAATGGTGTCTCCCAACCTTTGAGTATTCAACCAACTGGAGAGGCAATGCGCGTTAATTCTTAAACGAAAATTCTGTCAACATCAGGGGGGCGCAAGAAAACACACAATTGTAAACTTAACTACAAATGCAAAATTAAATCGTGTCACTATAAACGCACACTACAACATTTGTGTTTGTGTTCATCGCGTTTACGCATACCATCAAATTGTACACGTGTCGATACACTGATGGCGCTGTCTAAATGCGTAAGCAACGTAAGCCGTGGACTATGTCGAGGTTTTTTTATCGATAAAAAAATCACCATAGTCCGCCTAAGTTTTTATTTGATTATATGTAATACATAGATAAATAATACCAAGGTGTTATTTGAAATTGTTTTTTTTTTAAGTATTTAGAAATGTTCTTCGGAAAAGAACTTAGAAATTATTGAAAATAGGTTTATTATTTTGCTACAGGTTTATTTTACATTATGCAGAATAAAATTTTAAACATTTAACAAATCGAAATAGGTTTAGTTAACTTATTTTAAAAATCAGATTTTTTGAAAAAACAAAAAGTCCTATCAGTTTATCGTCTTAGATGGTGTTAACCAAGTTTTTGTTTTTATTAAACTCTGAAATTAAAGCTTCAACCACAAAACCGCTAATTAAAAATACTTGTTGATTTTCAAGAGTTATTAAACGAACTGTCAGGAAAACATTTAATAAATTAGGAAATAAAAAAAGTTTTACACTATATAATAGTGTTACGTGCCTAAGTCGACGGCACAAAGTGTTAATTTATTAGCTATTGTTTTTTATGTCAAGGCATTTTTTCATTTTAATTTTCCTTGGCCTAAGTGTTGGCTCGTACTCGCATTGGGAGTAGGACTAGTTCGGGCTATATAAGGATGTTTTTTTCGAATTGCGACTTTCGAGATAACTTATGGAATTTTGCTGGAACATCCAGCTTTCTTTTTTTGGTGTAGACGATATTGTGCAATCACCACGATCACCCTAAAAATTTACCTACGTAAGTCAGAAGATTCTAGCTATATATATATATATATATATATATATATATATATATATATATATATATATATATAAGTATATATATATATATATATATATATATATATATATATATATATATATATATATATATATATATATATATGTATATAAGGTAATAATAAAAATATTTAATCTAAATAAAATTACATCCCAACATTACCTCCCACAAGTTCAAGGTTGGTACTGCAGTGTCAGATTCATGGTTTCTACAAGCTCCAAGTGTGCCGCCTAAGAGGATCTCTTGGAAATCTGTAATAACAAACCAATAATAGAAAAATTTACTACTTTTTGTAATACTTTATTATAAAATCTAAATAAAAACTACAAACCGGTTCGGCAGACAAACCCGCATGGTTAACTTATCGATAGCTAAAGTTGCGGCGTTCATCACTATAGTGCAATACTTTTGGTTGCAGTGATACCAGTTTATTTTTATAAAAATTGCACACTTTAGCTGCGAGGAAGCAAGTTTCGATTTGACTTATTTGGCCTGTATTTTGTATAATATTTTAATAAATACTAGTTATCGATTATATTTAGTTATATAATATTCAGTATCGTTTTAAAATTGAGCCGAATATATAAATTATTTAACAAAATCCACTACACATCTATATGTAATGATTATTATTCATCACAAACTGATTTAGTTATTAGGAAATATATTTTTGTTAATATATATAACTTTTGTAGTAAATTATATTTTTTTAAATAGATTATTTTTCACTTTATGAACTATGATGGCCACACTCGGTATTGGACGATAATATTCACAAAGTACGAGTTTTAATGATAAAATTACTTTAATATTATGTTGATGAAAAGTCACATTATCCTTTTGTATACTTGACGTTTTTGATTGTTTTTTTCACGTAAATACACTGCAATTCGGCATTTTGTCGGAGCTCGATTTACTGGCACGATTACTTCGAAATGACGCACGACGCGGAGCAA